TATAATTGCTATGGTGTACAATAATGATTCTTTTCTCTTTGAGGATGCTGGCATGAGTTACTTTAAAATAATCCTATTACCTAGAACCGGGAGCCTCTTTCCATTAACCGTTGCAATTATTCTATCTTGTACAGCTTCCACTCCTTATACATTCTTGACTCTCTCTTGGTAAGATTCATTAAACTGATCAGCTAGAGAACAAAAATTTCCTTTCCTTCATATGTTAATGTTGAACAAATAAGAGGTACACTAAACAAAAGATGGCGCCAGGGGCCAAAAGTACAAGTTAAAAGGGCAGTAACAGAAGATTCTAGTACTGAACATTAAAAATCATATTCCCATCCTGTGTTTCGATCTAATTGATTGACAGCTACTGGAATAAGAACAAATAACAACTCATTACGATGCACCATACAAACCATAAATTTAAAAAATGCTCTCAAAAGAAAACTTGAGTGCAAAATTGCCATGCTGACTTCAAATTCCATTCCGCATGTACATATGGTTTGTTGCCAGTCAATGTTTCCTCTGCAAGCATACAAAAGATGTCAGCCTCTATGTTATATAAGTCTTGGCCATATTTGATTTGTTAAAAGTAAATGCAAGACGGCTAAAAGTTTTAGAAAAAGATAGTGCTACAATTTGATTGGTAAACTAAATATGTTTCTAAATCTTAACATGTCATGTCTTGTCTAAAAATGAGATCAATGAGGATTATCCCACTTGCTTCTTTCCATATAGGAGGTGCCTCATGCCAACCCTCAAAACAGCAGCCATTAGGCTATAATAAGATCTCATAGACAATAAGCTAAATACTATCATTGTGATCAGAACTATAAAATTACATGTATAGCTTAAACCCCAACATAAGACTGAAGAATACCACCAAAAAAAGAAAAAAAGCTATCTTTGGTGCTATGCAGATGGATACAGTTTAGCCATGGTAACAGCTAAGGAAATTTAGGGTAATGAAAAGATGACAAACCACAACATTCAAACAACAAACCTTGCGCTTTTTGAGCTTCCACATTTCACTGTTACTGTTACTAAAGCTTGTTGGTTGATCACCAGCAACATCCCCCAATGGTAAAGTTTTGATTTCATCATAGAAACTGTCAGTCAGACCAAGCAACCTGATACAAACAAGGAATAAACAGTCAAACCAAGGGAATTATATAAACCACTAGATACTTGGCATGAAAGATAATTCACCAAATTTTGCAAACTAATAGACACTGGGAGAAAATATGCATACCCATTTCTTGACTTCTTTAAGTGTTTCTCTATCTTTTTGTCCTTCTTTGTAACTGGAGCACGAGTGAAAAGTTCTTCCTCTTGCTGTGCACGCCTTTCCATTTTTGCCATATATCTAGACAGTTCTCTACTTTCAGTTCCAATAATTTCTCTAACCTGCAATAATTAGCTAAAAATATATCAGCTGCATTCATAGGTAAACTTTGAAACCAAGTAATGATACAAAAACAGTCTACCAACGGACCTCTTCAGGCCTTCCTTCTAAATCATCCATCATTTCCCTAATATATGCACTCTGAGAAGCTTTCCGCAAAGCTTCCTTTTCTCTTCTTAAAGCATTCCTCTCCTCTCTTGACATCTTATGATCCTCTTCCACAGCTGCAGGGGCAAATTTGGGCGGTCTATAAATACCAGCACCATCCTACAATGCACAGGCACAGACTTTAAACACAAAACAAAATCACAATTTTAGGTAAATAGTTGACGAAATTTTTAGCAAGACTAACCTCTGACATCATATCTGTCTTGCTAATAAGCATATCCGGGTTCGGGCGATAATTCAATGGATCCTCAGTCTTCTGAGGTTCATCTGATTTCTCATTTGACAATTCTTGTTGTGTTGCACTCCCACTAACCCTTGTAAGCTTTTGAATTTGGTATTGAAGTTTCTTGTCAATTGGTCTAATCTGTTAATAACCCAAAAAAGAAAAAGAAACAATTATCCTCACCACTACTTGAAATCAGACAATTACTACACAGACAAGGAGAAACAAAAACCCTACAGACCTTTTCCAGAAACAACCTAATCTCAACAAGGCTCCTAACAACGGGATGTCCCTCAATTGAATACCCCTTTGCCTTGCGAAGCAAATAATAGACAAGTGATTGACAATAGTTTAGAAGCAACAAATGCTTGGCTTCCAGATAACTTATCCCATCCGCAGTAGGCAAGTTATTAGCTTTCACCTATCACCCAAATCAATAGAGAATACTGATTTAAACAAAACAAAACTAAAAAAGTCATACGAAATTGTGACTGACGAGTTGCCCAAGCTTCCTACCTTAGCGGTTAAAGCTTGTACTTTGGCAGTCACTACATCTAACCCTGCCTTCATTTCTTTCAACACTGCAGCCAACTGATTAGCTTCTCTGAAACAGAAACAAATAAACAAAATTATACACGATAATTCGGATGACAAAGCTAAATGAAAAAATTGGTCAAACATTACTTACTTCTTTAATCTTTCACTTCCTTTTGTGTTATTGGTCTCTTCCATGGCTTATCTATCAATATTCACCCGTAATTTACGAAGCACGAACGCACCGCGCCGGTACCCACTCCCAGGGCAGAGGATACGAAAGAGGAGGGTAAGTCGGCTGGGGCTGGGTGTGAAAAGCGACAGGGGCACTCGGGTCCTTACGAAAATAAGGTACGAACACTGGGTCTCGTGCAAAAGCTTGTCGGCCCGTAACTAGTGTTTGGTTTTAATTAATTGCTTTAAACATCTGATTTGGGCCTCAGGCCTTTTTTGTACCAAAAGGGCCCCGACTTCAAGGCCTTTCCGGCCATTTACAAATAATTCAATTACCTTAACTAGTACTACTCAAATTTGTGGGGATTTGACATTAATCTCGTGATTAGTTACAAGATCTTACAATAATTCATGATTAGATTTCAATATTACCAAGATCATGCCATGACTATGATTTTGTCTTCAAAGGCATGAGCGTGAAGTTATATGTGCATGGCCTGTACTAAATTCTCCATCAATTTGTTCATGCAAAGTCATAATAACATTCTCATTTAAAACTGGTTGCGTCCATGACCATTTCTTGTCCTATATATGTCTCCAAACTCTTCACCTCTTTCGTCAAACAATTAGCAAGTGAACAGATACAGAAATAGTTCTTTTTTTCCAGTAGCCAAGCAAGCAAAGCAACCATGTCGGCGAGAACTAAGCGGATACAAAAGGAGTGGGCAAATGTTCAGAAGGATAAGGAGATAAACAATATGTGCAGTGTTGGTCTAGTTGGGAACAGCCTTGACGAGTGGCAAGCCACGATCTTTGGCCAACCTGGTACTCCTTACGAAGGGGGTTTATTCAATTTATCCATTGTCTTGCCAAGCAATTACCCATTTGCACCACCCAAGGTTACCTTCAAAACTAAGATTTATCACCCCAACATTAATGAACAAGGTAGCATTTGTCTTGATATTCTTAAATTCAAAGATAAGTGGACTCCGGCATATGAAGTAAGGGCTGTGATTATAGCAATATGCTCGTTGATGAATGATCCAAACCCAGATGATCCGCTCGTGCCTAAGATTGGTGCTGAGTACAAGAATAACCGGGCCAGCTTCGAGGCTACTGCTCGCCAATGGACGATGCAGTTTGCTCTACCTTAAAATTGGTAGAGGACCATCAACGTAATGAACGCCGTAAAATAAGCAATTTGCATAAAGCCTTTAAAGAATAATAATGTGTATTTTATGTTTATTGCAGAAGTTTTTATGAATAAAAAAATATTTTAACTTTTATGCCTGCTTGAAAATATTATATAAATTCTTCTATTCATTATTTATTGTTAAAAACTCATTTAATACAAATTAATAATAATCAATTTTAATAAAATTATTATTCAAATGAATTTGAACTTAAAAAATAAAATTTAACTGACTTTAAATTTTGAGATTTTTAATTGAGTTGAATTCAAGTTTAATATAATACCGACTCAACTCCGTTTGATTATACTGTTAGTAGTGATAAAAAAAAAGTCATTGAATTAATTACAAAAATTACTTCTAACTTTGAATTTGAAGGAAAACATTCATTTAGGTTTTTTTTTTTGTTTTGAAAAATATTTTGTTTTTCCTTCTGTAGGAAAAATAAAAGTTAAAATAATCATCAATGTTAAATACCTTGTTGGACCAATCAGATTCAGCCGCGGAACAAATCCACGAGGCTGAGAGGTCACGCAATCCCTCCTCACAACCAAAAACAGAACGCCGAGCCAAACAAAACGCACCGTTGAGGCGTTGACGCCCCCTCGCCCTTCTCCCGAGGACACGTTCGTCGTTTAAAAGGGACATCTCATTCACGTTCCGCAAGAAAACCCCCAACAGCCACCTCCCCATGCACCCTCACACCACCGGATCCCACCCAACACTACTCGACAAATCAAATTTTTTTTTAAAAAAAACTGAAACAAAAACAGGGAACAGTCAGTACCTTTTGATCACCGAGCACCTCGCGGATCGGATCTTCTTTCATGTCAACACTCTCTCCTCCGATTGCGCCTCGAAGACTCGGTCTCATTGATTCACATAAACCCTCCGATCGCTTTCCATTTTTCAGACACTCGATTTTTTTAGGGTTTCGTCTCATCTTTTTCTCCTTTTCTTCTTGTTTCCACATAATGTTATTATGTTCAGAGGCTGTTACTGTTGCCGCTGTTTCGTCTTCTTTTTCGAATTGGATAATTTGATCGGATTTTCTACGGTTCCATAGGATTACAGTTTTGCCACTAGAAAACAAAATGGCGGCTTCTCCTGTCAAGTTTCTCTTTGGATTCTTGATGATTTCCATCACATTGTGGATGGTTTTCATGTAAGTCCCTCGACTTTTCCGTTATTGTATTTGAATTTATTAATATAAATGTCGACATGCTTCTTTTTGTTTAGCTTATCTGAAATTTTATTTTGATCTGCTTTTTGGTTATGCATTTGGATTTTATTATTCTGTATTTGAATTTCGTGTTTTTTTTTTATGGGAAATCCTTTTATCAGTTTAATGCTGCAATTTGTTAGTGCTTCTTGGCGCGTTGTTTCTAATTTTGGAAAATATGGCTCTTTCAGATATGCTTAATTTAATTACTACGAATGTGTTGCTGGAAACGATGATTCATTTCTGCTTCTTTTGAGCAAAATGATTCCAATGAGATATTTATGGACCGCAATTGTTGTTGTCTACACTTTTTGTCTTCAATTTCTTAATTAATGCTCGTATTCTGTTGGAACTTTGAAGTGAGGATGCAAGAATGATTGCTAAAATTTCTGTTGTACACTGTTTCTTTTTCCTTTTCAGATTTGCTTCCAGGTTGCTGGCTTGGATTCTAAGCCGGATTGTCGGAGCATCTGTTGGATTCCGTGTTGGCGGGTGGAAATGCTTGAAAGATGTTGTGGTGAAGTTCAATAAGGTTTTTTCTTGTATTTCAATTGGTAGAATCAATTTTCAATGTTTTGTTAAATCAGGTGCTCATAAAACCAAGTTAAACCCTCTGTTAGTTACTAATTAGAGAGTCCTTAAATTGTTGAACAATTTTCTTTCCTCCTGGCATTATACAATTTCCTTATTAAGCTAACTTGTTGGCGAGAATGAAAAAGTGAAAAGATTGAAAGTTAGGAGCAATGGAATGGAAGCAGGAAGAAATAATAGTTTGTCTTTTCCTCAATGTGATTGGGAAGGAGAGAAAAGTGGATGGAAAGATAAATGTTTCTTCCACTTGCATGGTAGGATGGGAGAAAGGGAGGGGAGAAAATGAAAAGTAATTCTACTTACATCTGGGTTTTTTGTTATTTTATGATTTAATTATTTACCAAAATTATGTTATTTTCCTTTCAATATAAAGAGGGGGGAAGCAGGCTAAGTAGATGGAATCCTAACACTTCTCTTTCTGGTTTTCAGTCTGGAAATTCAGTTAAAATTGGAAACATTGGTACTTATGAATTGGATAGAAAACACTGGTCTCCTAGTAAATTCCAGAAAAGTGTTTTTTTCTTTTCTTTCCTGTTTCCTCTTCTTTTTATCATGTCACTTTTTTTCCCGGGACTAGATTTTGGTTGAGAGGATAATATTTAGTAATTTCACTTAGGGAGTAGAATGGACTTTTGTAAGTTGAAGTTTCCTCTGATGTTTTGTCTTGCGGGTGGAGTTCTTTGTACTGATCTCCCATATGGTGGGGCATGCCAGTTGGCATATTATTGCAATGATGGGCTGATTTATGTGCTGTCAACTTATATGCATTGCTTTGTCCTGTATTTGGCTTTGCAAGGTGTGCCTTTTAACTCTGTAAATATTATTGTGTTAATAAGTGGAGGTCATCCAG